GTAACTCCAGTTTCAGGGGCTCTGACACCCTCTTCTGACCTTTGTATGACACAGGTGCACTTACACACATGCAGGCAATACACTCATACACATAAAAATAAATAACTAAGATGGGGCTGGAGAGATGGCTCAGCGGTTAAGAGCACTGGTTGTTCTTGCAGAAGACCCGGGTTCGAATCCCAGCACCCACATGGCAGCTAACAACTGTCCGTAACTCCAGTTCCAGGGGATCTGACATCCTCTTCTATCCTCCATGGGCATTGCACGACACGGGTGCACTTACCTACATGCAGGCATAACACTCATACACATAAAATAAAAATAGTAAATAAAATATTTTTATAAAATAAGATATAAAAAAAGCAATTATCTTATTTGTCTTAAAAAGAAAGAGCTGTATAATAGTAACATAAAAGTCAGAGATTAGCTCTCCCAACGGGTAGCTTTTATTTTAATCTGACCTAAACTTAAAGTAGCCCTCAGTTCTCCCCAAAGAAAATCTAGTCCATGAAATAAATATGGAAGACATCACCAAGGACTGAAAGAGGGTTTTTTAATCCCATACCATCTGAACACTGCTCATTCCCATTCAACCTCCTCCTCCAGGTCCTCCTTATTCATCAAGCCATGTGCTCCCATCCTACCTGCATGGACAGGACAGAAATTTCCCCCTTTCCCTAGGAAACTTTCCACATCACCAGAAGCCAGCCTGTGTGGCTTTCTTTGACACCTACCTTGGTTGAATTTTTGGAATGCATGTTGAAGTTTCCTTCTTCTTTTGTCTATGTGTTTTGTCTATGTTTAGCTGGAGGGTTCGTGCTTTCTAGTTAACATCTAAATTTTCATGAAAGTTTCATTGTCTTTGGCAGTCCTGGGCACATTTTACAGAAAGCATTGCAAGTTGAATTCAAGAAATAATTATGAAAAAGCAAGATTTTGAAATTAATGTTACTAAAGTGCTCCAAAATAAAATGAACATTTCCAATTTTTTCCCAGTGTTTTATTACTGGTGCCCTCTACCTAGTATCTAAAATCCTTTTAGTGATTATATTACATTATATGAAAATTCAAGTTCTCTTTTTAATGTACACTGCTTGTTTAGAAACAAGAACCAGTCTGATAACTAGGTAATTGATCTTACTTTTTCCTTTGGGTTTATCTAGCAAATCCCAGAAACTGTTCATGCCTGAACTCATATGACATTAAGCAGAGCTTGGTACTATTGGAAAGACCTGAGGGGCTTATAGATTCGACAGAAGATTCAAATGATTAAGCAGAAAGTAGGAATTCAGTGAGCCGCATTAGCTAAGCCTTCTTTATCAATGTTGCCAGAAATGTGACAGCAGATCAATTGACTTGGTTTCCTGCTTACTTTCTTTTCAGAGATCGAATTGCTTGAGAGAATGTGATAAGGCTAGCATGGGTAAAGATTATGCCCACTCTTAACTGGGGCACGGTGGTGTCACCCTACTGATAGGACCACTATGGCACATACCACTCTTGCACCATTCCAAGAGGTGGTCCCAAATTGCTGTTTTTATTTTCAATATAAAAGATGCAGAGGATCATCTTGTCTTCTCTATAGCTCTTGTGATCTGTATTTGGGCAGAGAAGAAAAATATCCTGTTGTCTCTACTTGACATGTTTCCCATCAGCTCTGCATGCAAAAGAAGCTGACATCACTAAGCCAGCAGAGGGAGCTGTCTAGCTGTCTATAGGGTCAGAGGTACCTGACTCTGCCTGCACTGAGGGTGTCAGCAACCCTGTGATTGTTGTGCCCGAAGCTGAAGCTGTATTCAGCCTCCAACTCCCTGGGGCTAGTTTCCCTTTGGATAGTGATCCTCTAACTGTAGTTGAGTGTAACACAGAGAAAATGCTCTCAAAGACTAATAAGGAGAGTGTGACATCTTCAATCCTAAATGCCTGTGTTAGACAAAGAGGGTTGATAGTAGCTTTTATTCATTTACTATTTATACACCCACAAACTCTCTTAACAGGTACATATGAACTACCTTCATGTCAGGTGTGTGATATAAATAATCATTGTCTCTTAGCCCCAAGTTTCAAGTTAAAAGCCCTTTTCCTTTTGAAGTCTCTTTTCCCCTTCTTGAAGGAGGCTAATCCCCGAGTAACTGTGCCAAAGCCTCACCTGGCCCTCTCAGGTTCAGCACATGTTATTATGAGTGATTTCTATTTTCTGTCTTTCCTCATAAATTCAGGGCCCTCTTGTTCACTGGGATATCCCACCTGCTCCAAAGGAGGAACTCTAAAATAGCTGCTAAGCCCAACTTGTTATGTAGAATGGGGTTCACATGAACTTTGAAAGTAGCAACAAGAAGTGTATTGGTAACTAGTGTCTGCAAGTCTTTGGTGCCAGGAAGCAGCTGGACAGGATAGATTATCTCTGTTCTCTCTGTCACTGATTTACTGCCCTTGACTTACATAATAACATCAGCTAATATGAAGAACACTGCACTATTGGCTTCGCAACATGACTGAACAAATAGTCCTCCCTTCCCCTCTACCAATGGTTACCAGCATGTTAAAGTGCTTAAGTGTTTCAGAAAGGGAAATCTCTACTAGTACATTCTTCTCCTTGAAATGTGATCATCTGCTTTGTAATATTAGACAGTTTAGAGTGCTAGTGTACCTGTATATAATTTTAAAGAAAAAATGTAACAAGAATTAAAACTAAAAGGAGTCATGTGCAATAAATCACCAAGCCTCTCATAGGGGTATGACCATGTATGTTCACACCTATATATGAGGCTGAAAATATGCATGAAAGAAAGCATTACGAATGATTATGTCAGTCAGAGACACAGCAATGCCCAGATGATGAGATAGCCCCAAACAGCAACAACAGAGCACAAGGTACAGGTAAAATTATATAATGTGTATATTCCATTGGGCAACGGGGTATAGGAGGCATAAGACTTGGCCTGTTGGGCTAGACAGACCTGGGTCGAGTCTGCTATCAGTGCTTGCCACCCGTGTCCCCTTAGGTAGTTTCCTTAACCTCTCTGAGCCTCAGTTTCATCATCTGTAGGGTGTAGTAGCTTCAAGAATTAAATAAGAATACCAGACTTTGGCATCTGAGGCAGGTATCCATGAAGGCCAGTTTAGTCATTCATTTTTTGATTATTGACTGGGTTGCCTGCCATGCCTCTCAGTGTCTTCCCAGCCCCTAGCATATTACTGTTCCTTGGAGGCCACAGGCACTATGTATGGAATGAACGTTAAACCTCTGCAGCCATGGAGTAGAGCTTTCTACCATCTTCCTTCTGACAGCGGTAAGGATGCCAGTCAGAGCAGCATGAAGAGGTGATCAAAGGAAGCTTCATTGTAGTGTTGAACAAGACCTGTCATATGCTAGCAAAAACTAAACAATGCACAAATCTGTGCAATGGTCAGCAACTATGCTGGAAGGTAAAGTGTCAGAGATTGGAAGTATAGTAATGCTAATTGTCTTAAAGACAGTGCTTTTAAACTCAGCAACAGTGTAACGGAAATAAAATGGTGCCCAGATCATTAGAATGAAATTAAAAAAAAAACCAGTGGACTTTATTAAACACATAAATTTCTAACATGAACTTGGAAGCATATGAACTTACTGAAATGCCGGCCCTGATTTCTAGGCTGCTGTCTTCAGAGCCTGTAAAATGACTACTAGTTGTATTTTGAAGGGAAATATTCTTGCATCTGATTTTTATTACTATACATATACATACTTATTTTTTCTGTCAAATTGCACATTTCTCTAAGAAAAAATAAAACTAAAGAAAATCTTGACATAGGCTTACTCCATACTGATAAAGAAGGCACAGATTTGGAATGAAATGCCTATTTTTTCTTCATTTAAACTCAGTACTTTGTTTCTCTAAATTTAAGCTAAAAGAATTTGTGAAAATAATCTACACTGTCACAAGAATTAGTTTAGTCTTTCTCTGTTTCAAAGCATTCTTTAAAATACTTTCCACATCTAACCTTAGATAATTTTCTTTCTCATAAAAATATTTTCAAATATGAGAGTATTTCACATTCACACACACACACACAAAAACCCAGAAAATACTTTTAAGCAATGCACTGGCTGGAATTTGGGTTATTGACCTTGGACTTTCTTTTGATTTCTATGGATGGAGGAGTTCTTAAACCCAATTGCTGCAAACAAGTGAACAGATAAGGCAGATGTGGTGGTTTGTGAGAAATGATGAAAGAACCTGGGCTGCATTTACTATGACAGTGCTAACTGAAACGGCAGTGTAAAGACTCCGTCTGCGTTGAAATGGCAATGTTTCCCAAACAATGTAATACAAAATCAGATATACGGTATAATAGTAAACTGGAGAGTTAACTATATAGTTCGCTGTTATAATGACAGCTTTGGTTTAGGAATCTATACTCTACTGTTATCTTAATAATATTAGAATTTGTGACTAAAAGGCAAAGTACAAAAGCTGGTCAGGGGCAGAAACAAAAGGGAAGTCTAGGTGTTTTCTTTCAGATATTTGTGTATTATACCACAAAACAAGGATGGTTATTTTGTAATTCTGAAAAGAAAGGTTAAGATCTATCAACTCTTGACTTCAATGGCCTTTTTCAAAGAGTAAGCACCTAACACTATCTTCACTGACTTCAGCTTCAGTGAGTGCTGTCTGAGTTAAACTTTTTTCTTGTACTTTCTTTGTGAACTTACATAGCACCTACATAGAGTTACAAGAAATGTGCCACACATCTCTTGGAGGAATGTCCCTGTTTCCCATCATTTTGTCTGACTCAATAAACTGAAGAACTTCAGTGTTTCTAAATTCACTGTTGGCCAACAGTGAAGAAGAGTCGTATGACAGGTAAATAAGCCTTGCTGGGAAGATGTTGCTCAAGTGATAAAACAGTTCAGACAAGTGAACCAAAAAATCAAAAATTAACTAAGGGGAGGTAACCATTTCTGAAGTCTTGTCTCAGAAGCACCCAGTATATAAAGGATTGATGATCTCTCAGCTAAGTCTACGAGTGGAGGACGGTTCTTGGGAACTTCCAAATATCTGAAACCATGAGATATCTATTGCCGCTACTGTTGTGTGTTTCCCTAGTCAACACCCAAGCTACCAATGAGGACTACGATAATATGGTGATTTTTTTAAAAGATACTATTATATTGTGATTTAGATTATTAATTTAGAATACAATGGAATAATAATTTGTCTAATTAGTTATTTAAACAAAGTCAGCATTGATTATACTTATGAAACTGAATTCTTTAATCTAGGTAACTACTTTCCTTATGGGGTGCTTCGTGGTATTTTGTGTATGAAAGTAAATTCATAGCTTGTTTTCTGGCATAATTATCTTTATTTTCCCAGGATGAAGATAGCTTAGCTAATGGAAGATGTGTTTTTTCTATCTTCTTGTTATTCTATGATTTTTCACTAATTTTTATAATACGTTATTGAAATTATAAGGATAAAATTTTTAAATTTTATAGTTTATATAATGGCAAAAGCAGTACTTTGAAAGAAAATAACAATGATAAATTGCTCTTTGCTGAGTAAGATAATGTGCAGTTTCTGAAGTTATTGACAATGAGTAAGAAAATGAAGCTTTTTCAGATAAGAATTAAAAGATGTGATGCTTATTGCTTTACTAATTATTGTGGAACATAACTCAGTCTTTCTCACTTATATAAGTATTTTTCCTCATGTCTTCTTTTTTTAGACAAGTTCCCACTTTGTAGCCCAGAGTGGACTCAAAGTTATGACAATCCTCCTGCCTCAGCCTCCTGAGTACAGGGATTGCAGGCTTGTATCACTATGCCCACGCCACCAACTTATTGTTGTTCTTTTGATATAATGAAAAATCAGAAGTGCATTTAAGAAAATAGTTTGAATTTTATTATTAAATAGATCATGATCAAATGTATTATGCATAGCATCATCTTCACATGAGAAATAAGAATACACAGTAATATTGAAAGGCGATGATTTACTGTGGACCCTTTGGTGAATTTGAAGGGCATATAAGTATTATGATTATCTGATTACACATAGGAAAAGAAAATTGTCTGGTTAACCATGTTAAGTAAGAAAAATGTAAAGTATGTGGAAGTCTATATTTTCATGAATTACTTTGCAAAGTACTTTCAGATTCTTACTAATCCTGAGAAGAAATTTAGTAGCCAGAGCTCCGGCATGGGTTTTCTGGTTTTAACTAGTTCAATAAGTGCTCTTTCTTGGCCTAAGTGCCCCCGTAAGTCCTTGGGGTGTTCCTCTTTCTTCTTTCCTGTAGTGAAGCAAGACAGTCAATGCCACCTTTCTAGCAGCATTTTCTAAAGTAAAAATAAAATAGTTCTCTTGTTCATAATTTTATTTTCAATGAGCTGGTGAATCTCAGTTTGCTAAATTTGTTTTAATGCAGACATTAAGATTATGTCTTTGATATGAAATCTGTACACCTCCTGAATGTTCACCCATTGAGGTGTTGTTTATGTAGTTCAGTAGTTAAGCAAGAGAATCTGCAGCCCATCTGCCGTGGTGCTAAGACTGAAACCCAGGCAGATGGGCTGGGTTAAGCAACATAACAATTTAATGAACAGATGACAGTAAAATTCAAAATGCAGTTCGTTTGATGAATTAGATGCACGCACTTGCAAGACAGCTTAGCTACTGCTCCAAAGTTTGCTATTTGTTCATCTGTAAGTCCACCCCAAGAGTTTAACTACTGACAGTATATCTACAAAAATATATTGAATCCAAGTCAAAACTTTTATATTGGATTGCATATATCTACTTCACGATCTTTATAAAGATTTTTAAATTAGCAAATAATTTTAAATGCAAAATAAAACCCTGAAATTACTTTAAGTATGAGAATATCGTCATTTGATAAAGAAATGATGTAAGAAATTTCTAGAAACTGGTTCAGCAAACAATTTTGTCAATAGATAAGAATAAAGGGGGAATTGATAGTGGACTAGTCAACAGTGTCTTTTAAGTGTGAGCACAAGGAAAATAATAATGAGCACTTACAGTACACTAGTGTTCCAAAAGTGTCATAAGTAAAATTTTAATCTTCACAGTAATCTTATGAGGAAGGTACAAACTTCCTTATTTTATAGATGAGAAATCTGTGACACAAAGTAATTTGCCCAAGGAATCATAGTGTAGGGTGAAGACTTGAACCAAAGCAGTAACTTATTCCATAGTACCTTAATTTCCTGTAGCACGTTAGGGTCAAAGATTGTATTGTTATAAATACATTTCAAGTACAATTTACTTAATTTTTTTTCTCTCTCTCTTAACTATGGTTATATGAGTTAATCTGGTCATTCATTTATAAGAGTTAAAAGTGAGAAGATGTGGGGCTGGAGAGATGGCTCAGTTGTTAAGCGCACTGGCTGCTATTGCAGACGACCTGGGTTCAATTCCCAGCACCCACGTAGTGATTAACAACCATGCACAACTCTAGTTCCAGGGAATCTGACAATCTGACGCCGCCTTCTGGCCACCACAGGCTTTAAACATGTGTAAACTTACATGCATGCAGGCAATACACTCACACACATAAAATAAAAATTAAAAAAATAATGTTTTAAAAAGTGGGAACATATTTAATAACAGCTGTAGGAATTTAGCACCCCAAGTGGATCGAGGATATTCATTCTTTCTAAGAAGTCCAGATTCCTGGCAATTTGTATGTTTCAAAGCTTAGCCTTCATAATCTGAGGTAGATTTATCTCTAAGTCTCTTTTAAAAACTTCCTTGGGTGCAATATTTTTATGTCAGTTGCTCTTTCATCTGTTACTGAAGAGACACCAAAAACCTGATTCACCACCCACTAGCCAGATCTGAAGCAAATCCTCAGGCTTGTGATACCTCAGTTACGAAATAAGCATATAGAATGATCGCCTTCCACACTGGCTGTCTAACGCTGCCTTGTGTTCCTGTCTGGTTCCCGTAGGATTCGTTAAGACTACGTGGTCATCGACCTGTTGACAAGCGGAAGGAAGCGGCTCCTAGCCTGAGACCAGCCCCTCCTCCCATCAGTGGAGGTGGCTATCGACCCCGCCCGCCCAAAGTAGCTGCCAGCCAGAAGAAAGTGGAAAGAAAGGCCCCTGACGCAGGAGGCTGTCTTCATGCCGACCCAGACCTGGTAGGTGCACTAGTGTTTCTTGCAGGGTGGGTCTCTAATGCAGGGAAACCATGTTTCATGGACCAACGTGCCTAGCATGTCTATTTTGCTTTTTTAGGAAATAAAATTCAAAAAAATGAACTTGATGTTTTTCTTTTGCTTAGGGTTCCTTTTTTGTATTCTTGAGTCTGGGCCCAAGACATCAAAATAGGGTACTTAGATACTGCCTTTATTTTTGTATTTTTACCTACTTTCTTTGATCAGGTGGGTGAAAGTTCCATAGCCTGGTTACATTTTGGTGAAGACTATTTTTTTTATTATTTATTTAATAACCACATACTTAGAAGAAGCATTTCATCACAACAGCATTGACATATTCAATAAGAATTTCCAGAGCTAAGATGCAGCTCTTTCAAAATTGGCTATAAATTTTTAGGCTTACAGTTGAATTAGTCATAAAATATTGTACTCAGTATAAACCCTGTAAGACATAAAATTAAATGAGATTTTAACCTTTAAAAAAGATCTCCATTTCATTATTGAAATACAGAGTTTCATACAGAAAAATTCATTTTTAATGCAATTAACACTAAGATGTTTGCACATGCATTTCTAATCTCTATATATCTGATTATTACTAGTCACAGTCGGTTACTTTCTGAGCTCCTTGGCATCTAAGCATGGATATAAAGTCATCAGGTAGATTTCAATGGTAATGTTTTTCACATCTACTACTTATTAAAGAGCAAATTTTTATGCTTTGAAGAATTATTCTTATCATTATTTTTTTAATTTTTAATAACTACATTATTAGAAGAAGCATTTCACTACACCTTTAACATATTCAGTAACACACTCCAGAGCAAGAGTACATCTCTTTCACAATTGGCTGCAAGTTTCTAGGTTCACAGTTGAATTAATATTGTTATACAATATGGAGCTCAGTATAAGCCCTAGTAAGACTTAAAATTGAATGAGTTTTTAACCTTTAAAAAAGATCTCCATTTCATTCTAAAATATACTGTTTCTTACAGAAAGACTCATTTTTTTTGCTAATAACACTGAGATGTTGTTGCATGTGTCCCTCATCTGTATGTATCTGATTAATACTAGTCATAATCAGTTGCACTCGGATCCTTGGAACCTGAGTATATCTATAATTTCAATGGTAATGTTCATCACCTCTACTAATTAGCATGATGCAAATTTCCATGCTTCCTCCTCAAATATAATACATTTTTTAAAATTGGTTGATTGTGTGTGTGTGTGTTTGTATCACATAGCACATCCCAAACCATCTTATTCAATTATACACCCACTTCCCAGATAACACCCTCCCATAGACTCCCTCCCCCTACTAGAGCTCTTATACGCTGATATCCCTGCTACTGTCTGCTGTGTTGTCGTCTCCCCCCCCACCCCCAGCCATTCCCCACTACTTGCCCTTCTGGTGAATCTATTCAGCCTATCTAGAGGTCTTTGTTTTAGGAGGGTCAGCTGTTCCTCATCTAGCAGCAATCAGTTGTCAATATTCCTTTAGATAAGACTGGGGTCTGCTGTTCATTTTCCCAGTTCTATGCTGGGTTACTACCTGGGAGTCCCTTTGTTCACGCTGGCCAACAACTCAAAAGAAGGTATCTCCTATCTGGCATTGCTGCT